CGGTCATTAAAAAACTCCCCAAAAATTCAAATCCTGAAATACTTAAACAGAAACTTGAACAAAAAGGAGTACCTTTTCTAAAAGGGCGCCAATTTATAACAGTAAGGGATCGAAATACAATGAAATTGCCGCTGTTTCAATTGGAATACAAACGCAACATCGAATGCAAAAACGTCTACGACGTCAAAAAACACAGAGGATTAGATATCTTTATCACCTCGTATAAATGTAAAAAGGGCCTCGTGCAATGCCACAAATGCCGACGTTATGGGAATACACGGGAGCTATGTCATTACTCAGCGAAGTGCATGAAATGTGCAAAACCTCACGAAACCTACACCTACACCCAAAAGAAAGAGGATAATAAATCAGCATGCTTTTTTTTTGTGCCCTCTGTGGCGAAAATCATGTTTCCATTTGCAAAGGGTATGTTAAGCACCCAAATAATATCCAAAAAGCCATCGCCGTGGCTAAAGCCATGAAAGAAGCAGGAACTCATAATAAATTCCAACTAAAAAGCGTCTGAACTCCCCACCCATTCAAATACAAATGAACAAACCGACTCTAACAATCCAGCATGGCCTAAGACAAAATAGGATACAGAAAATTAAAATGAAATATCCATTTTTAGATGGATAAAAACCCACCTGAAGAAAGCAAAAGAATTCCTACAGAAATTTAAGAATGAAAAGTCAATGATGAGTAAACTTAAAGTCGGCATCGCTGCCCTCGATTATTTTTCAAATATTGATTTGGAGTTCTAGTTTTAAAAAACCTACAAGTCCCCAACTGCAACTTCATTAGTTTTCGACTCATCTCATCTCCATCTTGTAAATATTCAACCTGCAACTTGTAAACTGTACGCAAATTTTATTTAATCAAGATTTTACTCTCCTTTTTGAACTTTGTGTATTTTCGTGTAATTGTGCTTCAAACACTAACTGCTCATCGCGTTGGTTCTCCCAAGCCTCGCCTACAAGTTCAAGTATTTCATTTTTAACATTAATAATCGTGTGTAAATAGTGCAATCTGTATTTTTCCTCATTGCTTTGGACTATGGACTAATGAAAAGTACAAAAATGTATTTCATTATAAGCTAAATTTTAGCTTAATTACAAACTTTAATTGATTTCTGCTAGCACAAACCTCGACCAATCAGGCGCCCTCTCAAACCACGTGACATTCTCTCGGACTGCCTCAACACCAAATGTATCGATCGAGAGTCATATTTTTTGTAATTTGAACTTTACTAATTCATAAACTTTCATTATTTTTTTCGCCTTGTGCGACGATGTACAAGTGTACATCTTTCATTATTTAAACCAAGCAAATGTAAATGGTTATAATTTTCACTGTACTGGTAAGAACTCCTAGTAGTTGAGGCCAGAAATAAAGATAGGATCCAAGATCCATCAGTTCAGTTTTGTTTGGAAAACTGTTTTTGTTTACTGTAGCGAATTCGCGGTGAAATCGGATTAGCTTTCTCTGTTTTGAAATAAGTTCTGTTGAACGTTATAGTAGTTTTAAAAGATAACTAGTGTGAGATATGGCAATATTGCACGAATATCTGAAGAAATTTAAGCATTTTGTTTTATTTGTTCTGATAATAATACATTTTATTCACTTTTCATCGGACTTGTGCTTTCAATTTATTACGATCCCGTACGCACGCAACTCTTTTTTTTTTTTTTTTTTTTTGGTGTCAGAAGTGGGATTTGAATGCCAATAACAAGAGCGATGGAAGAACAGTTGACGCAATTCATGACAGACTTTGCTGCATTTAAAGAATAGATGAAAGATTCTGTTAAACGAGAAATGAAAGCCCTTCAAGAAAGGTGGAAGAGGGTCAAGAATCCGTTAAGCAAGACATGAAAGCCGTTAACGACGAGTCGAAAGCAGGTCGAGAAAGATGGAAGCTGGTCAAGAATCAGTTAAAGACGAGATGAAAGCAGTTAAAGAGGAAATGAAAACAGAAATCACCTGCATAATAGAAAAAAAAATTGAAGCTATGGAAGACAGAATTGACACGGTTGAAAATAAAGTTGTAGAAGACAAGTAGAAGACAGAGTTTTTTCTGGAAAAGAACAAATAGAGGAGAGAGATTCTGCCGTAGAACAACAAATTGATGACAGGATTACTGCGGTCGCCAAAGAAGTTGATACGTTGAAAAAATTCGTAGCAAGGCAGGGAGCAACTCCGAGGGTTTTAATTCTTACCCATGTCTGCTCGCCCCTCACTGAAGATATCTACGTATGATGGGAAGACCTCATAGCAAGTTTATAAGACGCAAATTTCAATAGTGGCGTAAGCGAATGGATGGGATTCCCAAGCTAAGGCCTCGACGCAGCAGATATTCTTCAAACTCTTTCAGAAAAGCAGAGACTAGACTTCGAAGCTGTATCCGGCGCGTTGGAGCTGCGCTTTGGCGAGAAATATGTAAAAGATTACAGCAGGCTTCAATTAAAATCACGTCAACAGAAGCCCAAGGAAACACTTCAGGAGCTTGCCACAGATGTTGAAAGGCTGTCCCATCTCGCCTTTTAGTCCGACAGAAGTGCCCGACGAAAACAAGGGAAGTCCTGTCCCCGCAGCATTTTATCGATAGCATTCGGAATCCCGAAATACAGCAATCTCTACGAATGGCGGATGTCAAGGACGTAAAAAGCGCTCTAGTGTACGCCATGAAATTCGAGGCTGCCCAGCAAGCAACTCGTAGAGATCGCTACCCAGTCAGAGCTGTGCGAGTCCACGAGACAGTGGATTAGTTGATGGCTCGTTTAGATTTATCCAGACAAGTCAATGCTTTGATACGGAGTAGGAGTGAGAACAAATTGGCTCTAAGGTGTTGGAAATGTGGTACTGAAGGCCACATACGACAGCATTACAGAACACCCGAGCGCACGGAAAATAAAACGGATGGTTTTACAACACCAATGAATGCCTTGAGACGGAATATTGGTGAAATGAAACCGACCCTAAAGTGCTGGAACTGCGGTGTTGAAGGCCACATACGAAGGAAGTGCATAACACCCTATAACATGGAAAATAAGACAGACGAGTTAAACAGGCAGTTGAATGCCATCAGACGAAAAAGGATTGACAAGAAACCAAAGTGCTGGAACTGTGGTGTTGAAGGCCACGTACGAAGGAACTGCAGAACACCCCACGGTAAGGAAAAAAAAGACTGTTTCCCAGCAACGACGGAGGAAACAAATTAATGACCATATCGTGGAACGGAGCTTGCCAGATAATGAAAAACACCGCTTTAAAGCGCTCATGATTTCTGCAGTGAGGGGCAACAGTAATGTACTTATCCATCAATGGGTATAAATATTTTTCCCGACTCATGATTAAATAATTTCATTTTTGACAACTACTAAGAGTCGATTTGTCTTACTTATCGAAAAAAAAGGTATTCCATGAATTACTAATGACATCATATTTTTCTTTATAATTTAGTCGAAAATTTCCACGTTTAAGATTTTCAGTAGTTTCATTGTTTAAGGCTTATGTCTTAACATATAATATATGTCAATAACATCACTTCAGTTTTTCAAACTCAGATGCAGATTTTTCCAGGTTTTCATTAAAATATTTATGCTGATAATATTTATATGTATGATATATATAATATTATTTATATATATGACTTTCTATAAAAACTAAATTTTTCATCCCAGAGGCATCGAAACATTCTCAAATTATTATCCTAAATAAATCACTATACTGGAGACTGACAGGAAATCAAGTCTGTAGCGTTAAACAGAGGCTCACATTTATTTTCGGATATTTAAGTTTTTCTTATTTGCAATACTAAATATTAGTGAAAAGACTCTATATTTTTCTTTTATGTATACTATTGATCATCTTTTTTAAAATACCTTGTTTTATAAAAAAAAATATTCAAAACACTGGACAAAATTCAAAACGTTTCGGAAATTTATTAATTGTAGGTATTTGGACACTTTGAAGAAAAAGTTTATATTTAATAAAAAATATGACAATAACGGGACATTTAATATTTCGTCGGCTATTCTTTAGCTGATATCATAATTTCAATGCTCTAGATCGTGGATTCAGCTAATATTTTCGCTTAAGTATGTTCCATTTTTTTCCGTTCCTAACAAATGCTTTTATAGTAGGAGCTTTCGGAAATATCATTCTTCCTCATTCTTTTCTCCAATTCACTCTTATAGAGTGTTTCGTAACATTTAAGTCCAGAAACTTCACGACATTGCATAATAGCCATAAGCGAATAATTACAGCTGTACATATAGGATAGTTATCCTGAAGGAATTTGAATATACTTTGCATTCCAAGTTTACTTGCAGGTGTCTCCAGGTTTTTATTAAGGGTATTTATACCGATCTGCAATACTTTCCATAATAGATAAATTTTTCATCCCAGAAGCAACTAAACATTCTCAAATCATTATGCGTCCTCAACAATAGAACCTTAAATACTTACCGTAGAGTTATCGTACTAAAAAAGCACGCTACACCTCAACTTTCTTCTGACAGAAACGCCGCTTTGAATAGTCTGCGGCCGCCCAACCGGTGTAGTGGTTAGCGTTGCTGACTGTGCCGAAGGGTCCGGCTTCGAATCCCGGAGAGGTCATGAATGTTTGTAAATGTTTAATAAAAAGTTGTAAAAACGTTTGTTATTAATTTCAATATTAACCCTCAGGGATTGGAGGAAACGGCGTTCGCGAAAGTCCTCATCTTCTTTCTTCTTGCTTAAAAAGCAAGATTGATACAGATACAGAATAGTCTGCGAAGAAATATGTACTTTAATTTTGTAACTTGTTCTTTATAGCCTTTTAATAGTATCCAACAAAGACCTAAAGCTTGGCACTGCTGTGCCCATGGGAGTGCAATTCTCTAGTTAGTTAGTATATGCGGGCTATACCATTTTTGTCAATGACGATGTCGTGGTGTCCCATATACTTGTTACTGTAACTGTAATTGTTATGTTTAATATATTTAGATTTTCACCAACAGATGGCCTCTTCATTTGTGGATTACTTGTTGGATTTTGCAGTTGGGCAGGAAAAGCTGTCACACCGTGAAGAAGAGGTGAGATCGATTTTGTTATTTCTAACGAATTAAAAGATATATCTTTAAAAAAATAGAAACATTAATAAGGTAATTTTTTAACATTACATCCCTGCTAGGTTGGACATTTGCATCTCATATTATATGATATAATTTGTTTGAAATATATTTGAATATCATATCAGTATTGAATTTTGAATTAAGCATATAAACACAAAGTAAAATACGTAAAATGCCACTCAATCATTAATACTGTGTGCACGAAAGTATCCAACATTAAGGGCTTCCGTACTTAAATTTTGCTCAAAGATGGAAGCTGAAATTACAAAAACAGAAGAAACTGCCACTGATAGTGAAATTGAGTTTTATTTAAAACAATTAAACGGAAAATTTGAAATTAAATTGGTAGATACTGAAACAGAAAAGTTATTAGATCTAAATATGTTCATAAAGAATTGTCGAATAATAAGCCGTCGAAGAATACCGAGAAAAAGTTTTAATTTGGGGATTGAGCAAACAAATATTTAGGATTTCTGAATCAAAAGAATAATTCTTTCGACGCTTCCAATTCATCATTTAATTTGGATGCAAATCTTTAGCCGACGCTTAACGTAAAGTTACCTAAAATAACAGTTACAAAATTTTATGGAAAGATAAGTGATTGGCTTACATTTTGGAACTCATTCCAAGCATCGATATACAATAATAAATTCACTTGACGATGTTAGTGAATTCAGTTATTTAAAAGTGCATTTAGGCGAAACTGCTTTGTAAACTATAGAAAGTTTTTCTATTTCAAGCAAAAATTATGAAAAAGCTGTTTTTCTTTGCTTGGTCAAAGATTCGGAAGAAAATAGTTTGGATTAACGCCCACATGAACCAATTACTAGAAATACCCACACTTAAAAGTCCCGATGACATAATGAATTTTCAGAAATTGTTTGATAAGATTCAAATTAAGATGAAGCTTAGTAGGTGGCACAAGCTTAGAGTCGTTAGGTGTATGGTCAACAATCTTTAGCACATTATTGTCCTGTATTATTAAAAACACTACCTAGTGACTTAATATTCGAATTTAATAAAGAATTTGAAGGCTAGTATTTTATTAATGATCTCATTAGCTTCTTGCACAAACAATTAATAGCTTAAAAACAGAATTGCACTTTCATTAACTCGCCAATATACTCGCATCAAAATGCCTTTAAATCCAGACTGACTGGCGTGCTATAAGAAAAGCAAACAGGAAAACCGCCTCCCGGTGACAGCTTCTGAGTTGGCAAGCAGTTTGGCTTTGAAACCTAAACTTCGTACTCTTTGGAGAAGAATATTTGAGCAAAGAATTGTTTATATGGAAAGGGTTTGACAATTGAAAACAAGAAATCGATGCTAACTAAAACCGGTATCTGTTTCCGATGCTTGAAAGCTTGCAAAGTAAGAAATGTCTTCTTACTATCAACGGTGAAGTGCAGCATTTTCGGTAAAAGGTATTTAGAAATAATGTGTTACTTGGAGAAAAACATACTAGTGATAATGCCATAATGAATAGGGTAAACGAAATTACTCAGAATACTGTTCTTTTAAGCAATAATTATTCAAGTGAAATTCATCTTGAAATTTTGGTAGTGCACTTTAAGCAAAACAATTTTAAATATCTCATAAGGGTGAGTGTAGATATGGGTAGCCAAACAAGCTATGTATCCAGATTTCTTGCTAGAGGGTTGAAATTAAAGGGATTGGGAGAAATATCTGTGAACCATCGTTTATTCGGAACAATTGTACATACAGAAAGTACCAGAAATATTGTGTTAAGCTAGCTTGTGTAGGTGAAAGCTTTGATTGTGAATTTAGAGGTTTCAGACGAAAATAAAATTTGTGCTTCTATTCTTACGTTCAATTATTCTCATTGCTTGAATCGGTTAAATGATCTTGGTATTTTAATAAGCGATATGACTATAAATGCTTGTAAATCCTGTTTGCATGAAAATAATTTGGATGAAATTCATTTGCTCATAGAGCTGATTATGCAGAAAAATTATTAATTGGAAATATAAAACATCTTTCAGGAGGTTTAGTTGCTATTCACACACTTTTGGGGCGGACAGTAACGGGTAAATTTGAGACAACGGTTACTTCTAGAAACTGTTCAATGCTGGTGTTGTCACTTCCCATAAATACCGCAAAGATTCAAGATCTCTGGGATTTAGATACTTTGTGTTGTAGGGTTTTACTTTATTTTCTTACAGTAATTTTTTTGGAACATAATTTATTTTCCTATACATTCTAATTTCTCACCTAAGTTTTCCTGCCAGAATTAGTTTTCGGGATTACGATTTGTACAAATGAAGTAGAAACAAGTATTTAAGTTGAAGTCGTGTGCCTTTCTGGTTCTGGTATGGATTTCAGTCGCAATCCATACCGCACTTCCAGTGCTTGGCCGGTATGCCTGTGTCTAAGATAAAATTCCAACAGGCCTTTTTCAGGGTAGCACCATATGCGCATGTGTCCATCATAATATTGCATGCTGAAACGAGATTCACCGGAAAAGCACTGGAGGGCTATCTACATAAGGAGAGGAATACCTACGTGGAAGACTTTCTAAGGAAAACTGGCTCCTATACACGTTGAACACGGGGGAAAACATTTAAATGCCCATGAAGCCGTCCCATTCGTGGTATTCGAAACTTGAACCGAACTACCAGTGTTCAGAGACGTTACCGGTCGGCCACTGGTGAGCCTGCTAACCGAAAGGCAATGATAGAAAACAATGATAGTGCTCTTGTGGAATAATTACATGAATAGCACAGACCGCTTTGCTTTCCAACACACTTGATTACATAAAAGTCATCTGCAGGTACGATTTTAATTACCCGAACTGGAGCACTGTGTTCCAAAAAAGGACTTCCACCCCTCTCAGTAATTATTAGGAGCTATAGGAACTTTACTTACAATGTTTCTATCAACTAAAATAGAACAATGTGTTCCCAATTTACCGTCTGATCTTATGTTATAAAACACCTTTCCGTCTTGATGCAAACGGCTTATTTGTATATCTAGGAGATTAAATGGTAAATCTTTCTTTCTCTTTTTTTTTTTTTCTGTTTTTCTTTCTTACTTTTTTTAAATAAGAATTACGAACCAGTGACCAATGTAATCGATAACGCATGCAATGCATTATCATCTGCGAAGGTGGCCAAGTTAAAAACTCGTAATTCCAATGAAACTTTTCTCCCTCTCCTCATTGTGTTCTCATTGATCCTTTACTATGATCTTCTTTGCGAATGTTATACGACGGAAAATTTCGTTATACGTGTATCGTTAAAATGGCATTTGTGGTTTTTCAATACGTGGATGGTATTGCGTTGATGGTAAGTGGGTGGTATTGCCATTCAAAAATTTCGAAATGTTTACTCTGTAACTGTAATCGTGAAATCCCTATTGTTTAGAATCATCACGATCTCTAGCACATACCTTCAAATAGCAATATTTGAAATTTCATTTCGATTGGTTGAGGGGATTGGATTAGATTGGATTATTTAATTATGGAAAAGCACACGAGGGCTATCTGCCTAAAGGGAGGGATGCCTTCGTGGAGGACTTTCTATGGGAAACTGGCTCGTATACACGTTACACATGGGGGATTGGTTGAGTGGATAGGCCACTAGGAGTTCATATATCGGAGTAGGGCTTTTATGACCATCCTGTTCAGTTTTTAATTGAAATATTTCATCCCCGAGTTCATAAAAGCGAAGCAAGCCAGCATCCAAATTCGATTAATCGTCAGGGAATAGTACACTTTTCCTTTCTTACGAACATGTTTCTTTATTTGTATGAATTCAAGCTTCGGTCAAAATCGTCAGCTGGTTCAAAGACTGTATAAAAGTTTTTTGTATGAACAGGAACGTATTTACTACCAACTACAAGATCTCAGACTTTTATCCACGTTATATAGCTACGATTAACTTCAGGCTGGATTTAAAAATAGATTCTAAGATTTGAGTACCAGGAGATTACTCATACATAGCTATATTAAAATGAGAAAAAAAATGCCATTAAATTTAATAACATTCTGAAGAATAAAAAAAAAAATTCTTTGCATGCAAATTATCATTTAGGAATCAGAAAGGGAAAAGAGGAATTTACGACTTCACTGAGTTGAATTTTAAAAAAAAAATCTATTCTGCATTTAAATGGTTAATTTGCAGGGGTTTCCTTAGTTCAGTTAACCAATTATTCAAATTTTTGTTACCTTTCCTAAACTCCTTAACTTCCCCTCCTATTTCTTCGCCGGGATGCATATTTAGAGTTAAGTGAAGTGACTATTTAAACGGGTGAATCTTGAAGTTCATTCAAAGCGGGTTTTCGTTAACCAGCTCAAGTTACGCATCTGTCCTTGCTGCAACGCCGAGTTGCTGATACGCCTTTTGGGCCAATTAAATAATTATCACGTCGGGTAGGTTGTCGAGTCAACCTAGTTAGTCTTAATATAAGGTGCTAGTCCAATATTACGCTTTAGCCTTAAATTTATTGCGTAACGATTCTCAAGTTCCACCGCAAGTTGTCGGTATTTTTGCAAAGCACAAAGTACGTGCCTTTCTGTACCTAGTTGAGAGTAATAAAGGGTTATTTATACCCTTCTTCTGTGCTGGTACAATTTCACGTCCGTGCGAGAAGTCGGTAGGTTCCTTAGTAGCCAAAGAGAGTAAGATCCTATAAATTTTAATTTTCCTTTCAGTATTCCTTGAATGATTTCTTAAATCAGTTTACGCTTAAGTCATGCCACCAAAATGGGTCTATTTAACAGCATGTGTTAAAATACGATAAAGAAACGTTTACAAATCTTAATAAGTAGAAATTTTTCCTAGCGCTTATAAAAAATAGTTTTTCTTTCTCAATCAGATATTACACAATAGATACAGACGTCTCTTTCACTTTCCAAACAAGATTATTTCCCAATAACTCGGCATCTGTCTTTGCAATAAATATATCCTATAGGGGCAATCTTTCAATAAACGGGAATAGTC